CGGGACACAAGGGAGGAGGAATTGCATACCGCCCCCCATAAGATTGATTGTCACCATTGGTTGGGATATTCCCAGTGCGGGGTCCCGTAACAGATTTCAGAAAATGAGGGGAGATAAGCGGGGGGTCCCGCGGGAGGGGGGAACGAAACAAGAAGCAATCAAAGATCAGAGGGGGGTGACGGCCGGGGTCCAGGAGGGCCACTCGGAGCTGCCACACCGTAGTGGTAGAAGGGGAGGAACGACGGAAACTTGAGGCGAGGACCTGCGTGCGTCCACCACGCCAGCGAAGCCGTGAAAAGTACTGCCCGGCGCCAGGGGTTGCCTCGGCCCGCGGAGCGCGCGCGCGGGGGGGAAGAGAGGGGCGCGGCCTGCAGAGTACGGGCATTGCCAAAGATGACCTGGCCCAGGATGTCGTTTTCCTCTTCTTCGCGTATAGCACCATCATCAGCACCATCACCATCGTTCCTCGTCCTGCTCCTCATCATCAGCACCATCACCATCCATAAACATTATCGCCAGCATCATCATCATCATCATCATCATCATCATCATCATCATGATCGTCATCATCGTCGTCCTCGTCAGTATCACCCTTACCATCGCCATCGCCATTATCATGATCAGCACCACCATCATCATCATGACCAACTGCACCACCACCACCACCACCCAGCATCGTCATCCATCATCATCATCACCGTCACAACAACATCATTCGTCATCACCACCACCGTCCGCATCATCATCATAATTATCATCGTCCTCATCATCATCATCATCATCATCATCATCGACATGATCGTCACCATCGCCCCTGTCACTATCATGATAAGCGTCCTCATCAGCACCGCCATTTTCGTCATCATCGGCATCATCTCCGTCATCCTCCACCATCACCATCACCACCATCACCATCCACCATCAACACTTTGATCACCATCGACATCCATCCCGTCAGCATTCCCCCACCCCGATCACCAGCGTCATCGCCACCGTCGTCGTCATCAATTTTATCATCACGACCATCCTCATCATCATGGTCATCATCATCCACATTGCCATCACGACCCGTCATTACCATCATCGTTACCATCACCAACCGTCATCATCATCGCCATCGCCATCAAACACCAGGATGAACAGGACAGCCACAATCATAATCACCGTCATCCTCGTTCGTGTTACCCTCATCATGATCGTCATCGTCACCCTTATCATCACCAGCACACCCATCATCCGTCAACAACATCCTCCTACATCAGCATCACCGTCATCACCGTCATCACCCATCATCACCGTCATCACAATCCCACTCACCACCCTCATCATCGCCACCCTCGTCATTATCAGCAGCACTACCATCACCATCATCATCAGCACCATCGCCAACATCATCAGCACCATCGTCGTCCATCATTCTCATCACAACCATCATCCATCATCATGGCCGTTGTCATCCTCGCCATCACCATGATCACAAGCATCATCACCCCGATCACCATCGCCATCATCAGCATCGCGAGCCTCTCCCACTGCCCGCGCCCATCATCACCATCGATCGTCACCATCACCGCCAGCATCCGTCATCATCACCATCACGATATCCCACGCTCGCTTCCCAAAGCACCCCACGCGCGAAGTCTGCGAGGAGAGGCTGGCCAAAGGGCGGCCACGGGCGCCAGGGCGCAGCGGCGCTGCTTCCACCGCGAGGCCTCGCAAAGCCCCCGAGACAGGAAGCTCTCGACCCGCTCGAAAGCCGCTGGCAAGGGCGGGGGGGGGCGCCGACAAAATTGCAAAGCAAAAACGCATACAATCATGGCCGCCGCGCGCACATGACCCCCGACGTCCGCTTTCCACAGAGCCCCATCGCGCGCGCAAAGCACCCGGGGAAAGGCCGGCCAAAGGGCGGCCAGGGGCGCCGGGGCGCAGCGCCGCCAGTTCTGCCGCGCGGCCTCATAGAGCCCTGATCCAAAGTCACCGCCGTTACCACGCGTGTGAAACGCGCCTCGCCCCCCGGCCGCGTCGGCGACGCGGTCGCCCAACGCCTCGCGCAGCTGGAGCGACTTGGGCAAGCCGTCGGACGCGCCGTCGGCCATCAGACGACACGCGGGCGAGGGACAGGGCGGCTCGCCCATCTGGAGACGGCGAGATACAGCGCCCCTCCAGCGCCCACAGCAGCGCAGCAGCCAGAGGCGCTGAAACGGCCCCGCCTCCCCGCAGCCACCCAAGGGCGCAAGCCGAGTCGCTGATGCCGACGAGGCCCTCCAGGTAGAGGAACCTCTGGGCCAGCCCGCGCAGCTGCCCTGGGCGCAGCGCCGCCGTCGAGGAAAGGGGACCAAAGACGGGCCCCATCAAGTTCAGCAGCGCAGGACCGTCGATCAGGACGCTCTGGTCGGCCCTCGGCCCGATGTCCTGGCAGAGAGCAGCACGAGCAAGCCCGAGTCGACGTCGCCCCGCAGGCTGCCCAGCAAGACGAGATGATGCCCGACGGCATTTGCAACCTCGCTGGGCCGCAGCAGCACATGGACGGCGAGGAACAGGCACGCCGCTGCCCCGCCCCACACCGGCGCCTGGGCGGCGACGGCCAGGGCCAAGAGCACCTCAACAAGCACGGTCGCGCGCACCTCGAATGGCTCGAAACTGCGCCAGCGAACCACCACGGCCCATTTCTCGGTCGAGGCCATTTCGCCAAGGACGCCCCTCGGGGCGGTCATGCGCCCCGCCGCGAGCGCCACCGCCCTACGCGGGCATCCGGGCCTGCGCAGCAGGGGCGCCGGGGAGGGGCGCTCACGCCGCCCCCCTCACGCGCGCGGGCCGGCAGCGGGAGTAGCGCGCGCCGCGGACGCGCGCGCGCAGCACGCCCACGCGCGGGAAGCCAGCCCCACCACACACACGCGCGCTGCCAATATGTCCAACTCGGTCGTGTCGCTGAGGGCCCAGGTAACCACGTCGCCATGCGGGCACGCTGCGCGCAACTCCGCCACAGCGGAGCATGCACCCAAGAGGTGGCGTAGCCACTCCGCCAGCGAACGCCCCGAGGGCGCCAGCTCCGAACACAGCGGGCACGCGGCCAGATTGCACCCCACCCCCTCGGCCCACCACACCTCCACGGGGAGCCTCCCAGCCACGCGGGCCAGCGACCACGCCCGGAAGAGGCGCCACATAGACCTGCTCCAAGGCGCCCAGCGGATGCCAGGTGCCAGCGGCTCCCGCAAAGGCAGCAGGTCACGGCACGGCACCGCGCCCTCGTTGTTCAGCGCCGCCAGCTGCAACACGAACCACCGCTGCTCGTGGGCCCGCACGGCAGGTGCCACGAACGTGCGTTTCCACTGCTTCACGGCCTTGCGACGCGTGTCCGCGCACGCGCGCGCGGTGGGCAACACGTCCTCCACCGGGAAGTCCACGGTGATACCCAGCGACCTGGTGACATCCATGGCGTGGTCCAACCATGTGGCCCTCGTCGTAACCCGCGTGCCTGCCACCACCTGCGCCACCGGGCTCGTCGCGGGCAGCGCGAGCAAGCGCGCCCGTGCCAGGACGATGCGCTGTAGGAGGGCGGCCCCCCACCGAGTGAGCACGCGGGTCTCGGCCAGCGCGCGCGCGCGCCCGCCGTCGCCCAGGGCCAGCTCCGAGCCGCTGCCCACCAACAGCATCTTGGCGACCTCGTACTGCACCCGGTTTAACTGGGCAACCGCGGCCTGCCACCCCTTCGAGTAGCTGGCCAGGAGCTCCGCCCCGTAGAAGGCGGGCGCCTCTACGCGGGCAGGGAATTGCGCTACCTGGTAAGGCAACCCAAACCCGGCTCTGCGAGAGAGCAGCAATGAGCTTGCGCGCGCCGTCCCGCAGCCTCGAACACACGCGTCCCAAAAGCGAGTGGAAAGTGAGATCCGCCTCCACGGGGATACCTAACATATCGAGCGAAGGAGCTAGACCAGGAGGTACGCCGCATACTTCCACAAACAAGGTGTCGGCCTCCCGGGGGGGGCCGACGGCCACGACCAGCGGTCGCTTGCGCCCGCCTTGGAAACGGTGGCGCCAAACTTGGCAGAACTGTGTCAGGGCATTGTTAACCGCCGCCAGGCCAGCAGTAGAGGACTGGAAAATCAACGAATCGTCAACGAACTGGAGAATCAACAGCATGTGGCCTGCAATCGCGCCCAAGAAAGCGCACCTGTCCGCGCCGGAGGTCAACGCGCGAAAATGCTGAGGCCAGTCAGGAATCCCTTCCAGCGCGCGCGCACGGTGTACTTCCGTTTGAACTGCCGTCCAAGAAATAGCGCGCCCCGCGGGCGGGGGGGGCGCGCTCGCTGTACTCGTGGAGAGCTCGCGCGGCAGCCGCGGGCGGGTCGATGCCAACGCCAATTGCCGCTGCCGTGCACCCGTCGATCAGAGCCCTGACGAGAGCGCCGAACAAGCGCACGCCCTGCCGCCGACCCTGACCGACCCCAAAGCCAGAAAGCTCGGCTGCCGCCCCCACCACGATGCCGATGCGCACCTGGAAACGCTCCGCCCCCAGTGCCGTGTCGGCGAAGAGCCATAAGTGACCCTTCAGGCCTGCGCGCCGAAGGTGCAGGCGGACGCCGTCCCTCCAGGCCAGGTCATACCCGTGCTGCAGGTCCGCCTTCTCGACCCATGTTGGCAGGCCGTGCGCGCGGCGAATCTGTAGTGCCATAACCATGCCAATGACCATGAGCAACGCGTCGTACTTCCCACCCCCGTGGGGGTTCCCCGAGTACTCTTCCAAGCGCGCGCGCAGCCTCTAACCACAATGCGTCGAACACGCCGCACAACTCGTCTGTGTAGCTGACCGGCCTCAGGTTGGCGACGTCTGCCACAACGGCCGGGCCGCGTTTGCGAATCGGGGCAACCTCGCGCATCCAGCCGCTCGGAACCACGGCGGCCACCGTCACCAAGCAGACCAATGCCCAAGTGACCAGGCGGCCGCCGCACAGGCCTGCCAGGACGGCAGCGCGAGGAAGGCAAAGGGCACGGCGGTTCGCCTGCAACTGCCTCAAGACTGCGTCGATGTCCTCCGGGTGGAACGGGCCCGAGTCCCCAAAGGCAGCCGACTCGAAGTTGGCTTCGCGACGAATGCGGCCGACCTCCAGCTCCACCTCGCGATTGAATGTCGCGTCGCCGTCCCCCGCCTCCAGGCCACGCGTCAGGACGTCAGCGGCAACGATGCCCAGCGCGTCGGCTACGCCGAGCAAAGCGCCGGACAGAGGATCACGAAAAGCCAGTTGGACGGGCGCGCGCGGGTTGAGGGTCTGGCTCAAGAACGCCTCCGCGTCGCCCGGCGCCACTGCTGCAAGTTCGAGGTAACGGTCCAAATGCTTCGCGGCGGCTTTCGCCGCCGGCGCATTGGCGTCTGCTGCAGCCAGCGCGGCCACGGCTTGCAGTTCCCCCGGCCACTCCTCGCACTCGACCGTAGCCGAGACCGACGGTGCACCAACCCCCCGCGGCGGCCTGGGCGGCGGCCCCCGGGCAAGGGCGAGCCCAGCGAAATGCCCAGCCAATGTATACACCGCTGCGCGCCACCAAACAGCGCGGCCCACCAGCCCCTGACGAACGCCACGGCTTCAGCCATCCACCACCCACCGCCGCATAGTAGGGGAACGCATGGCCGCGCCCGCCCAACCAGTGAGAAAGCGGAGCGATACGGCCAGCAGTAGCAGGGCCTCGCCCCAGTCAGCGTCGCGCGCCCACCTTGCCAGCAACAGAGTTTGCGTCCCAACGCAGCCAACAGTAACACCCACGGAGAGGTCGAGCCTGCAGTGGTCGCTGGTCACACCGGCCTCGACTGCTGGCACCACCGCCGCAACGGCCGCCAAACCAGCGGAGGCCGCAACGACGTCGATCACAGACCCAGAACTGCGCGTCGCTACCCCGACGGGGTTGCGGACAACAACACCAAAGGCGTTCCCGTCCTGCAACCAGCCCCACACTTCGCGATCGAGCCGTTCCTCGAGGCACGCACTTATGCCCCCGAGAGCGGAGAAATGCGGATTGAAGTCGCCAGCCAAGACGAGGGCCCAACCGCGGAAACGCGGGCGGTGCTGTAGGAGCCGCCACTCCTGCAACCGAGCCAACCGGAACGCCCGGCGGACCCCGGCGCCGTGCCCTGGCGGGGGGCCATACACGCCCAGCAACAATAAACCACCACGGCCATCGCCCTGGAGCGGGACGGCCGCCCAGATAGACCGCGCATCCCCAACGTCCTCCAAGACCCCCACCGCCCGTGCAGCTTCGTTCAACACAATGAGCGCGACCGTGTCCGGTAGCGCGCCCCGTTCACCATGGTAGGCGTACCCCGCCCAGCTTGGCCACAGCCCACCAGGAGCCAATCGTGGCTCCGACACTACCGCGATGACCGTGCCGCTGCGGTGAAGCTCCGCAACTAAGGCGCGGGCCCGTCCCTCATGCGCGCCCTCACCACGAAATGTACCTAGGCCGCCCTGGACGTTGAAGGCCGATAGTACCAGTGCAACAGCGCGCGCCTCAACTGAAGGAGAAGAGAGCTCGACAGCTGGCAGCCCCCCCTCCCACGCCCCGCAAATAGAATTGATGGGGATGCCCTGCGCCGCGCGGGCCATGCGTGCCTCGACTCTCCGGCACGCGGACCTCACGGCTGCGTCGAACTCGCGGAAAGCCTCCAACTCCGCTGGCACGCCAGTCAAGCCACGCGGCGGCTGTGCCTCCAGCAACGCGCGCGCGTCGCGACGGCAGCGCAGCGCGCGCCAAGCACCCGCGCGACCTGCAGCACCGGGCAGCTCCTTCTCGACCAGCTCCTTGAGTTCGGCGCCCGCGCGAGACGCCTCGGCCCTAGATGTCCAGCCCGCCAGCGTAGCAGATGCAGGAGCGCCAGCATTGCCGAGGTCGCCGCCCCCGCCGAGAAGTGCCACGCGCAGGGGAGGGGAGGGGGAGGGCTGCGAGAGCTGGGCCGAAACCTGGCATAAATGGCGGGAGGGGGGGGAGCCAAGGCGGTGGCGAGCTCCACCTCACACCCCGCCGTTTGCAGAAAAGCGGTTTTCCAAACCCTCCCCCTAAGGATCCTTAAGGGGGGGGGTTCTCTCGAGGCCTTCAGGGAGGCCCCATGGCCGTCAAGCCAGCGCTGGATTGGCTTCCCGGCCCTTGGCGGCCAACTCCGTCGAGCAGGTCCCCCTCGTCACCTCCACGGCGGTGGCCGTCAAGCCACGGCAGATATCAATGCCGCGTGCTCTGGAAAAGCGTTTCCGGAGCACGCGGGCCATTTAGAATCAACCCCAATTAAGCGTCGGCACGCCGACCGCACAGTTTGCGACTCCTGCTGGCCAGGCGAACGAACTGACCTTGAGGGCGCTCGCGGTCAAGACCTGGCAGAGCGGAGGTACAGCAATAGGGGGCGCCCAGACCGTTGCGCCTTAGGGCGACACCCCCGCGCACGCCCCAGCCCCCTCAGCGAGAAGGGGGGGGAGGGCAGGGAAAGAGAGGGGGGGGCAGGGAGGGGGGGACGGAGGGGAGGAGAATCGCGCCGCGTAAAACGGCGAAATGCGAGCGTCCATCGACTCAGCCCTGGACAGAATCGACGGGCCGGCATCCCCAAATCGGGCGACACGCCGGCGCCCACCCTCTACGGCGCGACGGAAGGGGCGACACCGCGACCCGGGCTGGGCGCAGTTGGCGGCGGGTTTAGGGCCAGCGAAGCAGGGCGCCAACTAGGGTCTCAGATCCCCAAAAACACTGTGATTTCGCATCCTAGAGGCACTGCGCGCAGGCGACGAGGGCAGTGCTGAGCAGCCCGACATCACGCACGACGTCGTCGGGGCGGAGGGGCCCTCGACACTGGCGCCACGGGCCCCACTTGTCGAGCGTGAATATATAGCACCCCGCAGATGCGGATAAGAGTGAGGGGGCGGCGGGGACGTCTGCAGTCTGCGAGGTTCTGAAGAAGCCAGCCGCACGCGCAGAATTTTCAAGCTATAAAGCAAGCCCTCCGCAGGCACCGATGTTTTGTTAAAACAACGTAGGTGGGTCGCGGGTTGGGTCGCAAGTGGGTCGCGGGTGGGTTGACGGTGGGTCGCGGGTGGGTCGCGGGCCGGGTCGCGGGCGGGTCGCGGGCGGGTCGCGGGCAGGTCGCGGGCGGGTCGCGGGTGGGTCGCGAGCGGGTCGCGGGGCGGGTCGCGGGTGGGTCGCGGCTGGGTCGCGCGGTGGGTCGCGGCGGGTCGCACGGCGGGCCGCGGGCGGGTCGCGGGCCGGGTCGCGGGGGGGGCGACGACAACAAACGACAACAGCAACAACGACAACAACGCAACATGCAAAATCCTCACAACGGATCCCAATTTTAGCCACGCACCCAGGGACAATGAATGACCGGTCGGCCCCCTCACTCTGATACAGCGACAAGCAATGGCCAGCTTCGCTGCCCTTCGGATGCCCCGCCCAGCCCGCGACGCCGCCCTTCGCGAAAGTGCACCAAGGCGCGCGGGTTGGCCGTCTTGCGGAAATCCAAGCCAGCTGCAGAAGATCCCCAGGAGCATCAGCAACGCGGCGAGCGGCAGCACAGGTCGAGCTGCTCGGACACCGCATCGCACCGCTCGCTGGAGCCTTCTGCCGCCACCTCTGTCAGACGCCGCCAGGCGCCGCCAGACGCCGCCCCCGAGCTTGAGGGCGGGGCGCCGGCGGCCGCGGTCGCATCGCCGCGCCGGCAGGGGCGGGAAAGCCCACCACCCCATCCAGGTCGCGGCCCGGCGCCATCGCCCACCACACAGGCACCTGAACATGACGCGCTCGTAGAGCGGCCTCGCGCCGAGGGCCTTCCAGAGCACTGGAAGCGCCCGCCGGAGAGATTGCCGTCGCTGTTCCAACGCCCACAAGGCCCCCGCACAAGATCCAGCCCGGCCCCCGCGCACCCGTTGCCCGGGATCTCCCCGGGGCGCCGCCGCGGCCCCCGCGGCCGCCGGCGAGTCCGAGCGAACCGCGAGCACAAGCTCACGGTTCGCGTCAAGTCCTTGAAAATGTGCACTTTGCCATCGCCAGCGCCCAAGACGAAAATCTGCATGACGCACGGCCCACCAGGCTGGCTCTTGAGGTTGAACGGTGGAGGGAGGCCACTGAAATTGGACTTCGTGGCAAGGTCCTTGACCACGTCCAAACGGCACGGTTGCCCATGGGCGTCCTTCCAGTCAGCGAGGACACCGACCTTTTTCCCGCCACTGTCCGTGATCTCCTCGTAAGCATGGTTCATCAGCAGGTCCCCGAAGTAAGAGATCTTCGTGCCTGCGTGGGCGCGCACGGGCGCAGCAGGAAGATCCGCGATCTGCGACAGCCCCTCTTGCCCTACGCGGCCGTGTGGGAGGCCAGCGTGGAAGTGGGGTTTCATGCCGTCGGCGCGCGCGAGGGCCTCGCCGAATTTGATGCTCTCGCCCCCAACGGCGTCCCCGAGAGTCTCGCGGAGGGTCTCGGGGAGGATCACGTTCTCCCTCGCCATGGCAGCCGCAAAAGAGAGGGGTCGGCACGAAAGGCGCGCGCAATCAAACAGCTTGAGCCGATCGGGCAGCACGGAACTTCTCGGAGGGAGGGCGGCCAGAGACTTCATACTATGCTGCCCCATAAGAGCAACATGTCGGCGTCGGTTTCCTGTGGGATGGCAAGGGCATCCCCTTTTAAGGATGCCCATGTATACGATAGGATCGACTATCGTATGTCTGCTTGGAACTGGGCTGGGCTGCTCCACATGTGGCTTTGGTTATGGTTATGGTTCTGGCTCTGGTTCAAGTTCTGGCTTTGGTTTTGGCTCTGGTTCTGGTTCTGGTTCTGGCTCTGGCTCTGGATCTGGTTCTGGTGCTGGGTCTGGTTCTGGCTCTGGTTCTGGCTCTGGTTCTGGCTCTGGTTCTGGCTCTGGTTCTGGTTCGGATTCTGGTTATGGTTCTGGTTCTGGCTCTGGTTCTGGCTCTGGTTCTGGTTATGGTTCTGGCTCTGGTTCTGGTTCTGGTTATGGTTCTGGTTCTGGTTCTGGTTCTGGCTCTGGTTCTGGTTCTGGCTCTGGTTCTGGTTCTGGTTCTGGTTCTGGTTATGATTATGGTTCTGGTTCTGGTTCTGGCTCTGGCTCTGGTTCTGGTTATGCTTCTGGTTCTGGCTCTGGTTCTGGTGCTGGGTCTGGTTCTGGTTCTGGTTATGGTTCTGGTTATGGTTCTGGTTATGGCTCTGGTTCTGGTTCGGGTTCTGGTTCTGGTTCTGGTTATGGTTCTGGTTCTGGTTCTGGCTCTGGCTCTGGTTCTGGTTCGGGTTCTGGTTCTGGTTCTGGTTCTGGTTATGATTCTGGTTCTGGTTATGGCTCTGGTTCTGGCTCTGGTTCTGGCTCTGGTTCTGGCTCTGGTTCTGGTTCTGGTTCTGGCTCTGGTTCTGGCTCTGGCTCTGATGTTGGCTCTGGCTATGGTTTTTGGTCTGTCTCTGCTTCAGTTTCTGGTTCTGGGTCTGGTTCTGGCTCTGGTTCAGGCTCTGGTTCGGGCAGTAAATCACGTGCAGACGAACGGCAGTGGTTTCGGGCGCGGAGGTGGGAACCCATTATTTGGGTTCCCCGCTGTGTTTTGCTATCCGATCGGCGCTACTGGCCTGGGAGCCTTTCCATGTCGGCCACATCGTCCGTCGAAGGGGCACATCGTCGAAGGGGCATCCATTTATGGATGCCCCCTTTTACCGCATCAAGGCACGATGGAAAGAGAAGCGAGCCAGAGGTTCTGCAGAGGCAAGCAAGAATCATGGTCGAAGTGCACCGTGCCTGCTCGAGCGCGCTGTGTCCTCGTCGCCGCCGCCGTCGTCGTCGTCGCCATCGTCGCCGCCGCCGTCTTCCTCCTCCTCCTCCTCCCCCTCCTGCTGATCAGAATCCCCTTTTGGATCAGAGCCTTGGAAAACCAAAAAAAGCAAAAACAAAAAACAAAAAAAAAAAAAAAAAAAAAAAAAAA